GTTGTATGGAGAAATCTAACATTATTAAAAGTTATTCTTAGTGTGATAGTAACTTTAAAATAAACCAAAGAATCAACTCCAATGTTTTTTTCATGCTCCTAGTGCCTGTTGGAAATAGAGTTAGAAAGTAATGTGAGATGAGGTAATGAAGGATTTTTAACTTTCCTTTTCTAACCTCTCCAAAACAAACTCACTCATGACTTTCAAGGTATCCTCCTGTCAGAGGAACATTCCCTCATGCACTGGTTCTTTGATAAGGGCTGTGCCACAAGGAATTTATATTTTAAAGCTTTGAAAAAATGTATATGAACAGACCTCCACGACTTCTCAAAGATTAATACTGCTGGGCAGATCTGGGTTTGCATACCAGGGTGCTTACCATCCTTGGAAAGGTTGTTGGTTGACACTGATTCCAGTTTTCAGTGGCAGGTAGAGACGTCATGAGGAAGTGCAATCAAAAATGTAATTATGGAAAGATTCCAGCTGGCGAGCTTGGAGCACTGACATAGCAGACACAATGCAGAGGGCACAAGGACCAGCCAGTCCTATTGCTTTGCAAACAGCAAGGGCTCATGTGACTCTGGTGGCTCTGGGGAAATAATTTATCTCAAGTCTCATCAAGACTTTGCCGTCTCTCCTTGGTAGAAATCTGAGGTTGGGATATGCATGTGTCATTGTTTGCTCCATGGGAGAGTTATTGATCTAGAACAATCATGAAACTTCTCAAACCATTTTTATAGCAGTTAGAAAAAAATGAATAAAAGAGGGTTCAAATAAAAGAATTTTAAAGAAAAGGGATATAATTTAGGCATGATGAAAGCAGAGAAAGAATGCTATAAATGCTCAGAGTTGAAAAATGTATAATTTGGATTTCCTGGAGTGAACACTTGGGATAAAATTGACTGTTGGAGTTTGAGAGAAGGAGTGCTAATCTATCTAGTGTGTGTATTAGGCTCTTAGAAAGTTCAAGGGAACAGTTCTGACCTGCAGAATATTGCCACCACCTTCCATTACTTTTCTCTAGAAAAGTTTCCCTCTCCTCACATGAATGGGTGTGGTGTGAGGGTTCTCTTGGGGGAAATTACACCAATGAGAATATTTAAAAGGCAGGAAAATTTGAGTCCCTGTCACATCTTTGCACCAGCTGAGGGACACTGCCAGTCTGTCCAGCAACACTTCCAGTGTTTCTGAACTTCAGTTTCAGTGAAGTTCAGTATTCAGAAAACACTTTTGGTGCTTTCAATTAGAAATGCCAATTTTTCTGGCATATCACACTCCTTCAAAATACAAATAGCACAACAGTCAAGAGAAGAAGATTTCATTATCTACTTTATCAAATTATACCTACTGCCAACATCAAAGCTATGATTAAGTGGGTTTGATCAGGGGGTTTGATGGGGTTTGTCACATGTCTCAGAACAAGGCTAAGGTTTCTGGTGGTCTTCCCTTCTCCTTCCCCTTCCCATCTGCCTCAGACATCCACCACCCCAACCCACCTCAGTGCCTTTGTCCTGGCAGTGGTTAGAATTCTATGGTTTCTAGTCTCACTAAATTAAGTTTTAAATACATAACAAAATTGTTTACAGGTCACCTAGCCATCAATTCCTTTCTTGTAAGATTATCTGGAGAAAATTTTTCAAGGGCCTCCAGGATCTAAATAACCCCTCTCTGAATCTTTAAAGAGATGAGTAATTTCTGTATGATGTGCTGCAATAATATTTAGAAACCTCCATCTATAGAAGCACCCAGATGGGAAAGTTAGGTAGACGAAAGTGTATCTGGGGACACTTGGAAGATGGTGAATGGGGAGAGAGGGAAAGCAGGACATGCTATAGTGACTGCTCTGGGCCAGCAGCCTGTGCATCCATAAGTGCAAAGAGCCTTTTCCCCCTTCCTTTTTTAAAAATGCCATTGTTCAATAGCCTGTGGAGCAATTTCTGAGAATGATGGTGGGGTGGCATGGAAAGAATAGTAAGAGAGGGATGCATAAACAGGCTTTTCTCATCCTCTGAATCCCTGAGGAACACAACTCTCCTCTTCATACTTGCAATGGCTCTCACAGCTCTGAGAGCACTTTCGCTTTCCAGATAACCTGAAGAACTATTCAACCCAAAGATAATAAGCAGCAAATGGAATAGACACTTAAGAAGGAAATCAGGATTCTTTCTAGCATAGGAATACTGCACATGTCTCAATAAATCTCCTGATAGGGAAATTTACTGATCAAACATTCATTACCATAAAATTAGACTTTCTTTTTTGAATTCACCAAAGCTCAACCATTTGAAACTGTGGAATAAATGCAGGTCAGTAGAATTTTAGCTCCAGATCTCACCAGGGAGTGGGAGCTCCCAGCAGTTTCCACACAGTGTGTCTGTCTCCTTTGGGCTGCCTGCGACTGCTGAGATTTTTGAACAGCTGAGGTTGTACTAGAAAGAGATGTGGGAAAACCCATGGCCCCAGTCTTCTCCTGTGCTTTGTGCCAAAGGACAGAGGTCCTTGTGTGAGCACAGGGATGCATCTGCTGTACACCTGCTGTGTCTTCTGCACCAACACTCTCTGAACAGCGGCAGCTGTGACAAATGCCAGCCTCAGTGCCACTGTCTGCCACCTGGGGTTTAGAGAGACATAGGTTTCAGAAGGAATCCCAGGAACTGGGGGAAGTTTGGAAAAGGTATCAGGATTATGATGTTCTCATGGAGTAGACTGATGAAGGCTATGTTTGGAGCAGCAACTGCTTCTAGTTAGTGCAAGAAGCTGCAGCAGGGTGAGGTAGCCTGGTCCCTGTCTGTACCCGAAGCACAGAATACACCAGTGGGTGCTGCAGCCTGAAGGAAAATATCTGTGAGATGTTGTCATTCCCCTTTGCTTGGAGAGACAGGATCCCTGCATTGCTGTCAGCATTGCCAAGTCTGCCAAGCTGCTCTCTGAGGAAATTCCTGCTGCAGCCTTAGGTCAGTCTCTAAGAGGGGGGAGAAGCCACCTGTGGCTACTGAAGTAGGAAGGGATGGATGTGTTTAGGGGCAGATCAATCACTAATCTGCCATAATTCTCTGCCAGGTATCTGCAAAGAAGGACTCCCTGCTTAAAACTGAGTGATTTTTGGCCCTGTAACATACTCTGATTTGAGGCAGCCCCAAACACTGTCAGCATGACGTTGACTTTGACCTTTCCAACAAGAGAAATTATTCCTTATGCCACTTTGCAAATCCAGCTCCTAAAGCAATTACACATGAGGAGTGGTCTGCTCAGGGGTGTGTTTGAAAAGAAAATGAGATTAAACTTTCTATCTGAGAAGAGTGCCAGTGTATCAATATCCAAATCAAATAACATAAAGTTTCTTTTGTCTGCTAGCTAGGAGTAAGAATGCGTTATACCTCAAATATGATTTTTGCAGTGTCTGTAATATGATGAGGTTTAAATTAAAATAAATATGACTGCATGCTTTTGAAGAGCTAATCAGGCTAAAACATTCTAGCCTTACTGGTGTAGCACATGAAAATAAATATATATTTATCTAGGCTGCCTAGATTCATGCATAACTAGTGTGCAGATTGGGTGGTGGGCAGACAATAGCAGGATGAAATACTTGTGCTGCTCCTGAGTGTGCTTGATAAAAGTCAGTAATAGGAAAATTATTTGAATGTAGCCTGGATGACAGCACTATGATTCTCCTAATTAATTAGATCAAGATTTATTGGTCCTATTGTCATTTAGTCAACTCTGCCACATACAATTTTTTCTTTTTTGAGATATTTCAATGTCCACTCTATTCCAGTACGAGCAGTCTGGAACCACTAAACTAATTTTTTAATGACAAAACTCCATTCACTCATCGACTTTTCCTCAGTACCTTTTTTTTTGGTTGGTTTTTTTTTTGTTTGTTTTTTGTTTGGTTTGTTTTCTGTTATGTTTTCTGCTATGGAAATAGAATTAGCAGGGGATTCTGATTACCAGATTATCAGCCAAGACAAACCTTGAAAGTTCCTAACTCGTGTGCCCAATTGTTCATTTAAAAGTCACACTGTCATTGCAGGCTCCTCTGGAAGGCATTCACTGTGGTACAGTGAATGTTCTCTCCAGTGTGAGTTGGTATAGCTCAGCAAGCCACAGGTTTTTTTTCCTCTTACTGAAAATGGAATTGCTCAAAAAGCAGTTGACTTGAAGCAAAAATTTTCTTCAGTATAAAGCATGCATTTTTTTTTTAAATTATGTCCTAAATTCCATAGGCTTCATTGTAACTGAAACAAAATACATCACTGGAGGCACGTAAAAATTACAAAGGATAAATCCCACCTGAGTTTTGTGATGTTTATTTGTGATCATTTGATACATCAGCACACAGGTGATGCTATTGGCTGAATTTGTTGTGGAGAAGCTTATAGTTTTGGTTCTTGAGTTCCTTTGATTTATACAATTTTTTTGGACCAAATTGGCATCTCTCACATGTGCCAAGGACCTGAAGGAATACACAGGCATCTTGAAAAAAATACTTATTTTTATGTTTCTGTATTTTAAGATGCCTCTGCACTTCCAGTTTCTACATACAAGATTTGCTATTGATTATTGTCCCCCCTCCCAAGCAGTAACTTCTGGGAGTACCAGAGATGAATAGAAAATTCCCTCTTCTGAAAGATGCCCTTTTCAGATAAAAGATGAAGTTTCACAGGTGAACTCCCACAGTCCACATGGTGCTGGGTGCACCAAATAAAGCATTTGATGCTTTTATTAGAAATAATGTTAATAGGATAAATGCTGTGACAGGATCAAGCATTCTCACTTTGAAATCCAGTCTGCCTGCAGTTTAGCATTTGTTTTCTTTAAATACCATATCTGTGAACCTGCAACCCACAATAACAGCCTGCTCTACTACCATTAATTATTGAAAATGCAAGTGTTTAATTACAAGTACTACTTAGGTAACCCTGGAGTGAAATCATAGGATACAAATTAATCTCCCTGCTGAAATCACACCAGGATTATGTCTGTGTTTTGTGCAGGTGATTCCAGCCTTTGCTCAACCTGTGTTCATGAAAACAATGTTTACAGCAGAATATTTCAGATTTTGTACAGAAATGAAGAGATCGTTCTTAATGAGACCATGAACTTCAGAGTGCACCTGCTTCTGGATGGTGAAAGGGTGAGTTTTTTGGATTGCAATAAAAACCAGCAGGGCTGGGACTCCTCTTACTTAACTTTATGTGTGCATTGCACAGGTATCTCCATTTCAGAAGTCCATGTGTTGCCAGAGGTTTCATGAATGCAGCTGCTGGAGGGAAAGGCACAGTTTTCCCTCCAGCAAAACTGGGGGGAATGCACCAGCAGCTGAATTAGGAGGAGATTGGCTGTCCTGTACCCATAAATACCTGTGATTTACTTGTTTGTACATGTTGACACTGTAAAACTCTGCATGAGGTCAGAGAGACCCTCTGCATTGTGCCTGTTTATGAGGAGCAGGCTACACCTTGGATTTCCAGTGGAATAAGATATTGACATACTCTGGTAAGTCATAAGATCAGAAACTCAAGTATCTCAACCATAATTTATTATTTGTGTGCTGGATCACACACTTAACACAGCCCCACCTGAGAAAACTGTGAGTCTGGTGCTTCTTTTTAGGACCCACTACTACTTCCATCCATTATTATTACTCTCTTCCCCTCCCCTCTTGTGACTGAAATTTTCTACAGCTACCCAGCCCCTTTCCATCCTTCAGAGGTCTCCTGGCCTTTGTCCTTGGTACTCCTGACTGCAGGAGCCCATGGGAGAGCTTCTGGAGCTTTCCCTTCCTTGGAGTCCTTGTACAACCCTTTAGTTTTCTGTGGTACCCCAGCACAACATGTCCATCCTGAGACCCTTCTCCCCTCTTTCCAGCCACTCCTTCAGGAAACAGGAGCACTCACACAAGGTAAAAACACAATCTGGGACACCCAGCTTGCAGAGCACTTGTGGTTTAACCTTGCTGATGTGAAACCAAAGTCTTCCAGCAGCAATTCTTGTTGCCAGGAGCTACAAGAGTGGAGCAGTCTTCGTCCATGGAGAGCTCTGTTTTGCTGAAATCTTAAATAGGAAGGGGAGAGAGTGTCACAGTAGAATGGCATCAGGCATGACCCATTTGCCATCACTGTGCTTTGCCAGCCCAAGGACTGGTATGGCATTGGTATTTGACCTCGGTGGTGACAAGAGACACAACAGCATCTTTGCCAAGTCAGCTTGTCATCAAAAGGAGGCACTATGAGTTACACAGCCAGTGTGAATCATGTGCTGTGTGTTGAACTCAGGGCCAGAGACACTCACCTGTCCTTTGTATAACTTTCTATTTGATCATGATGAGATTTAAAATCTCTTTTTTTGTCCTATTTCAAAGCATATATATACATGTTATATAGAGATCTAAATTAAAACAGTTTGAGAGCCCAATTTAAGCTTAACATGCTTCCTTTTCTCTCCCACTTTCCTTTTGCTGTTTTGGTTTGATTTCTTTTTTTTTTTTTTTTTTTTAATGATGTTGTCGTCAATTTATTCCTCCCTAGAATTGTTAGTTTGTGCTTATGTGAAAATTTACTAAATGCAAGTCTATCAATATTTGTTAGGAAGGTGTCCCAGCATGCTTTATCCAATATTAATTTCATCCTTCCTCTGTGGACTACCTCTGACTAAATATCCCTCCCCTCAAATTACAGCAGTTTTCACTGTGCTGAGAAGGGATGATTTCTGATTATTTTTGCATTATTATTCAGGAAAGTTGTGCACCTCATGAAATGGAAAACAAAAAGTACCCCACAAGATGCCTCACAGCTAAAACTCATTGTGACTCTTGATGTGCTGCATGCAGCACCACTTGGCTTTCCATAGGAGATTCCTTGGGAAGAGGACAACTGCCCAATTCTGTATATACAGAGTGGATTTGAGATAAACTTAATTTTTCTGTGTGGTGAAGTAACTTTGGGTTTTCAGGAATGTGGAATAAGAGGATAAACAGGTTTGTTGTTCCAGATGAGTTGCTAAAGGCACTCTAAAGAATCAAATACAAAAAAAAAAAAATCTGTAAAAATGTTTGTGTATTGAGCAGATTAGCACAATAAACTTCTGTTTAATGCTTTTAGGCTTCTTTTTTCTGCTTTGATGTCTTGTCCTTCACAGCTTTGCAAATTTGATATAAATGTGGGAGAGACTGAAGTGTGCCACTACTACATCCACAACTATTCAGAGACAGTTTTGTATCTTTGTCACATAATCTCCTATGTTGGATGAAATCCTTGCAATGTGGTGTTGGCAAGTCAGCTAGAGATTTTTAAAGTGTTTTAAATATCATCTGTGTTCATAACTCTTAATTTATTTAGCACACAACAGATGTGAATCTTTTTATGTGTCTCTTGTGCGCTATGGTGATTTTTCTTGGTTGAGGATGAAGGTTCTGTTCACTGTTTTTGTCTGTGGATGGAAGCTATGATAAACAGGCAAAGGATTTAGTCTGGGTAATGCAAGTATGGAGTCCATACACTCCATGCAGTTTGTGCTGTCAGAGCTGGAATTATCCAATATTATATTAGGAGAGCATTGTTCCTCCTGGTGCTCAGGTAGTTTTGCTGATGAGATGTTTTGCTGAGATAGACACAGCCAAAAAAAAAAACCCCAAAAAACTAAAAAACCAAACAAGAAAACAAATGAACAAATGTGAATGTCCAAATTAGATTATTTGCTTTCTTTTTTTTTTTTCTTTTAGTTCTCCCCCTCCTCTTCTAGCATAACCCTAGATATGCTTAAATATGTAAATACTTTTTCTTTTTTTTTTTGCCTGGTATGAAACCAAAGGAAGCCCTATTATTTGTCTAGAAGTGGCACTGAACATGCCATTCACCATATAAATGGTGCTTTATTTGAATTTTTTTTTCCCTATTGTCCCAACATACAGCATTTTTTAAATTCAAAGGAAACAATATTGCAGGGCTGGGGGAGAATTTATTGCTACAAAGAGCTCTAATTCATTTTCATAAGATTTTGCTTTCTTTCTTATTAGAAAGAAATTCTTCTCTTATTCTTATTAGAGAAGAAGCTTTGCCTCTCTCATCATGCAGTAGAATAGATTACTTGTCTGGCTTCTTCCTTTCTGGCCCTGTTCAGGGAAAATTTAGTAGCAGGGAGAGAACAGAGTGAGGCAAGCTGGAATAACACAGTATATTAGATTTTGTATTTTTAAGTGATCTGGGACATCCAGATCATTCAGTTTGACACTCTGGCTAAATGATTAAATATTAGTGAAGGAAAAAGAAAATGTTACCTCGTTAATAAAAACTTTGATCGGTTTTATGTGGGGTTTTGCACTATTCTGATCAGTCTGATTTCAATACAGTTTTGGGAATAAAAATATCTAATTTATGCAGTTTACTGCATGACCCCATGCAGTGAAGAATATCTCCTGGTCTCTCAGGCATCTGCTCACTGCTTCAAGGTGCTTGGGGTGAGTGTCACCAGCTACTGAACGTGTTTGAAGCAGACTCAGATCTCAGTGGCTGTTGCAGGTGCTCAGCAGCGCTGGGTACAGACTCAAAATTTCATCCCCTTTATTTAGAGGAGGAGGTTTGCTTTGTCTGAAGCACTGTACTGAATTCCTAGTTTAAATTCAGAATATAGCTTCAGTAATGATTACTTTTTTTGCCACTGCTGGCAACTGTGATTTTTAGTGATAGCAACTCATTAAAAAGGAAAACCGTCTTTTTTTTTTTTGGGTGTTGTTTTTTGTTTTTTTTTTTTTTTTTAATGAAAGGCATACTTCCAGGTATTTTGAGACAATCACAAAAGAGAAAGCACATTTTCAGTATACAGAAGCGGGAATTTTCCCTTCACATCTCTGTGCCTGTGGTCATGCTAGAAGAAATATCATATTACTTCAGAAGGGATTAAATACAACATCTTTCAGAATGTCTTTGAAGCACAACCAATCTTTGACTCTCAATTTTCTTACTTCAACAGGAGCAGATTGTACATTGTTGATCCAGTTTCACCTTTGGAATACCTGACTAAATATGGTTTATGCTATTTGTTTTATGAATGTTTTATGCCTCTGATGTTGCCTTCAGTGCATTTTTAGTGTAATCTGTGCTCTGTTGTTAAGAAGATGATTATCAACTTTGGAAAGCAGAGTTCATCTTGCCTATTTTTAACTGTCTAAAGTGCAAATGTAACTAGACCAAGATATTTCTCTAAGTTCTACCTACTGTCATTGGAAAGAGACAGGCACAAACAGAAATTAATTGTCCTTCTCCAGTGGGTACCTCAGGATGGTGCACGTCACTCTCTGTCTCTGCTTGCTGCTTGACACTGGCAGAAGACAGAACCCATACCTCTCACATCACCTTTTTGTGACTAAAAAAAGGTTGTATTTATAATATCACACCCCCAGTGAATATCTTCAATTTTCCACATTTATTTCTGTGCACCTCCTGCTGTGTTCTGTCATGCTGTAAAGGATGTTTACACTCACAGAAAAAGACTATTTTGGTTCTAAACTGTGTAATTTTTTTTGTTCATATTTCCATTTAGGTTGTTAGAAATTATTATTTTTTTATTCTATTAAACCTGTTTTTCTTGGGGAAGAATTGACATTTCAAGGAGTGAATAAGAAAGTGCTGGACATCTTAATCCTCTTCTAATTTATTTATTTCCATTGATTACAGTTGTTTTAACTGTGCCAAGCTGGGATGTGTTATCCAATTTAGTTCTTTCCTGGTGAAGGTAATGAACTACTAGCTCTAGCACTGTCTCCAAAAATCCAACAAAACTATTTTTTTGACAATAAAAAAAGGGTAATTTTTCTGGTGGGACCTGTTAGATGAGTTAGAATGGAGGTACCAGCGAGTCACACATGATTTCTTCAGTGGTTTTGGTGAGTAGAATCCTGCCTCATGTAGACACATTCAGCCATGCAACAAGTTAAACTCATATTTTAGTTTTAAAAACAACCAACCTCTGAGTTCTGGAAAGGAAATGGTCTACAGGAGAATCAATGGCAAACTACCTCCATGGCCCGGAAGAATGACTGTGGGACAGAAAAGCCTTGGTTTGCTGAGACAAACTCAAAGATCAGAAATTTCCAGAATTATTTGAGCTATTTCTGAATGTTTTAAGCTGTAAATTTTGAAATTTCTATTAGTTACAAGTAGGTAACCACATGGATTTATGACTGTTTCTCATCCAGGAAAACCTGGTCCTTGCTTTTTTTTTGATAAGAGAACCCAAATAAAGGCTCACTCAGGGAGGAAGAACAGCCTCAGAAATGCCCTTCTGGCTCTTGGTGTGCAAGAGCAAGGATGCAGAGCTTGATGCTCTCTGGTTCCTCTTGTCTGGAGTGATTTTTTTGACATGCCATGGCAGCTGGTGGCAGATAACATCTCTGACTGCTCTGTTCCTCTGACTCCTTCAGCAATTACCTTGACTCACTGTCACATTTGTTTCGTTCTGCCTCTGTGCTGTCATGCTGCTGTTGCTGTGTGGTTTTGCCTTTGCTCTTATCAGACAAACCCACCCACCTTTGCCTTGTGTGTTGTAGGTGCCAACTTACAAAGGTAACCTTGTCTCTCTCTTTTTGCAGGTGGAAGATGCATTGAACGAGGCAGATTTTCAGCTCAAGCTGGACCTGCACTTTACTGATAGTGACCAACAGTAAGTGCTGGTTTAAAGCTCAGTTGGTAATGTGGGGGTCTGTTCAACTGGAAAATTACTTTGATGAAATTAGTCCTTTTTAAAAAAGGAGAGCTTTGATAAGGCTTCCATTTGCCTTAGTGTTGAAGTTTTCCTGTTTCTTCTCTCTGTATTTGAAGTGTGTATCTCATATTCCTGCTTAAAGGGAGAACATTTTTTTCTCCTTGAAGTGTAAATTTCTCAAAGGTTTTAAGTGTTGGTCTATCTTTGCTGCTGTTAAAGGGAATATCATCATTGACCTCCATGTGGTCAGGGTCTGTGACTCAGGAATGTATTTATCTCAGGAGGCAATGAAATATTTTCTGGCTGAAGACAGGAGTTATGAACATGCTAAGCACTTTTCTTCTATTTAGAAAATAGCCTCTGCATTTTAGGAGGGAGTAGTCTTTCTATTGAATTTGATTTCTTCTAACTGAATTTGATTCTGTAAACTTAGGTGAAGTGGGAGTAGCATCCCTTCCTGAGATGTAGCAGGAAGTGTGTTCCCAGATATTTTTGAGCCACACTGAATCAGGGAAAAGGCTTCCAGTGACTAGAGTAGCATTTATGGGGAGTAGGAGGGGATGCAGAGAAATCATCTGAGCTGTATTTCATGCTGAGACTGTCCCCGTGGGATTTTCTGAATACCCACAGAGCACACAAACAAATTTCAAGAACATGTTTCTGTTGTCTTCAACATACAAAAAGAAAAAACTTGTTCTTTCAGGCAGGGAGGATTTGACTATCAGTCAAGTGCTTATGGGTCTTGAAGAGAGAAAAAAACCCCATTAAGTCACAGTCAAAAATAAAAAGAACTGAAAAATTCAGGTTATGGAATTGTGCTCTAAACTCTACACCTAATTTCTGTTATCACCTGAAAGATTAGTGTAATTTACTATATACAAAAGTAGTGATTTTTAGAAAATTATATTCTGCAAATATCATTGAAATATTTCTTGGAACTAACCATGCACCACTCAGCCATCTATTCCTAGGTTTTCTGAGCTCTGGGAAACAATTGTCTTCAGAAGTGTCTTTAATGCCTTAAAATAATTCCTCTTTAGAAGTTTCACTTGCATTGGGAGGATCTGTTTAGTCATGCTCCAGGTTTACAGCTCAGTCTCCTGTCCTGTAGATGACTCAGATGTCATGTGGTTGACTGCACCCTAGGATGGTTATTCTGGAATAGTTATAAACAAAATTTAAAATAAAGTCTTGACTTTCATTTACTGAAAAAAAAACCCAAAAAAACCAAGCCAAATTCCAGAGAAGCTAATCCAACTTGGACAGTTTCTCCTCAATTACTTCAATTTCTCTTTTGAATTTTGGCCTCTTCCAAAAAGTTTTTTTCAGATTGACAAACTGGAAAGGTACTCAGAATATTTTCAGCTGTGTCTGACACAGAACTGCTTCTAACTCTCACAGATTTTCTGAGCTGATTGTTCTTACATAGAACACAAGCAGTGTGGTGTCCCATCTATGAACACTCAAATAAACTGAACAGTTTGCTAAATTCATTTGCTTCTGCTATTTAGATCTTGATGTGCCAACTAGTGCATAGCTGAGCATCAAGGGCAATCACCAGGGAAAACCAGAATTGTGTCACATCTGTTCTTCTTTTATACTGCATATTCATATATAACTCTGCATATGTTCTTTATGTTTTTTTATTTCTATTTATGTTAATTATATCTACATTAGTATTAATATTTATGTTTGGCATGAGCACAGCACAAGATGCTCTTTAGTTGCGTTAACACTTATGGAGCTGGGGAGCGATAAAGTTTCACCTCGAACCGTCTCTGTCTGCTGCCTGTAGCACGTTGCAGGCTGTGCCAGCTCAGCCTTTCACTGACCCCTGTGAACCCCTTTCCCTTGCAGGCTGAGGGATGTGCCAGCCATCCCCATGATCAGCAGCCGCACTCTGTGCCTGCACTTCCACCCCCACCGAGGGCTGCACCACCACGTCCCTGTCATGTTCGACTATTTCCACCTGTCCGTGGTCTCCGTCACCGTGCACGCGTCCCTGGTGGCTCTGCACCAGCCTCTGATCAGGTAATGGGCAGAGGATGTCAGAGAGAATAATTTAATTTAAAGGTTTTTTGGTCCTGGGCTGAGAGTCTGGAGGTTGGGGTGTAGAACTAAACTATGACACGGGCCTTTTCCCTTGATAAGACACTGGGGGTCTGGTCAAAAAATAACAAAATTTTGGGAAAGAGAATTTGGGTTAGTCTTGATCTCCTTTCCCCATCTGTAATAAGGAAAGTGCAAATTGTTTTCCTTGATTGTTTTTCCTTTATTCTAAAAGCAACTAAAAACATTTATGTTTTTCCTCTCTGATGATCTGTAAAGCATTCAAGACATCTGGACTCATCCATGGCCTCTGTACATGAGCATAATTCATAAAGTGGTTAGGAGGAGGCACACAGGAGTCAGTGCTGGCTAAGGCTCCACTGGATTTTCCTTTACAGTATCATCTGATTTGACTGTGCAGCACTATGATACCAGCTCCCATGGGGTCTAGGTGTGGTTTATGTTATCTGATTCATAATGACAAGAAAATAATTCAGAACTCCTTCAAGTAAAACAGGTCTAGAGGTCAGTATCCTCCAATATTTTGAGCAGGTGAAGGGAAGCAAAGGTCTTCCTGGCAATTTACTTAGAGCCCAATCTTGTCAGCATGTGAGATAGAGAGGGCTGGGAGGGAGGGAACTCCTTTGGTTTTGAAGCAAAATGGAGTGTTCAGATTTGTTCAGCTGCCCTTAACTCTAGCAAGGTCTTTTTTCTGAAATGACCAAGAGATCTTAATTTTGTCCAATATTGTGTGAAGAGCACGGTGTCAGAAAGGAAAGATGAATCTGTAGAGTTTGTTTTCCTCAGGTTTTGTGTTTTGATCTAATACTTCTTTGCTTCAGCTCTCCATTAGTGTAAAGGCATTGCTTGAACATTATGCCACAGAATGAATTGGGATTGTAAGAGGTTGAGCTTGAGGTTGTGAGAAGTTGAGAAGTTGTGGATGCCCCATCCCTGAAACTGTTCAAGGTCACATTGGAAGGGGCTTTGAGCAACCTGGTCTAGTGGAAGGAATCCTTGCTCATGGCAGGAAGTTTGAAACCAGAAAACCTTTAATGTCCCTTCCAAACCAAAGCATTCTAAGGCAGAATGATTCTGTGATATGTGACAGGGATGTGTCTCCTATCAGCAGATCAGAGTGACATATCTCTGTTCTGCTGATATGATACAGGTAACTGCTGTATCTCTGCTTTTCTGTGTGTTGACTTTTTAAACAGTGAATTAGATTCTAACAGACTACTTCTAACCAGATACTTTTGATCAGATAATTTGCTCATTGTTCTACTACAGGAAAGGATGAAAGAACAATAGCTTAAGAGGCTTAATGACTGTTTTCAGTTCTGTATTATCCTCTAATGAACGGGGTTGCACAGCCTTGTTACTGCTATTAGGCATAAATCACATGATAAGCAACTGTTCCATAGTCAGATTATTATAGCTTTTAAAATACTATTTTGTGGACATTTGTGAAGTATACAATGTATTTACTTAATGTGATGGAATGAAGATTTTTGGCAGCACAATATACAGTCTCACTTGCTTAAGCCCATAAAATCATTTTAAAGTGTGATAGTGAGGATTTATCTTCTTTCTGATAAATATTCCAAACCCGAAGAGTTTTTATATCATGCATTCAAATATAATCAAGTATAAATCAGGATGAAGACAGTAATGTAAAATAAATGGCACTTCCAAGCACTCTAAAACAAAGCCAGACAATTAAATCTTATTTGGGTTTCCCACAGCTCAGAACTTTCCTTTTTATCATTTATCATTGGAAACTATTAGGAGCATAAAAAAATTAAATATACCATCAGATTTTTTTTTCATAACACAATAGAACCTGAATGATTATGGAGTCTTTTTTTTTTTTTTTTTTTTTTTTTTTTGTCACATTATAGAAAAAAATAAACCCTAAATAATACAATCACCAAATGGATTGGGTTGGAAGGAACCTTAAAGATCAGTTAGTTCCAGCCCTCCTCACATGAGCAGGGACACCTCCCACTAGATCAGTCTGTTCAAAGCCCCATTCAGGCTGGCCTTGAACACATCCAAGGATGGGATGGAATTACATAAGGAAGGAAAAAAATATCTACACAGTGTTTCACTGTGGTTTCATTTGCTGCCTTAAACTGCCCCATCATGGTACATACCTTATGTGCTTATACACATTATTCCTACACATATCTGTAGAGCCATATCTAAAATTGCAACAGTCCTAGACCTACCCAGAAAATGTAAATAAAATTGCATAAAGTTGCATAAATGTAAATAAAATCACATAAATTTACATTAAAATACGTAAAATTGAAATTCACTGCTGTATTGAAGTTTTCCTGTAATACCACTTTGCCTGAAGCACATCTATCAGCTCATCCATGCCCTGTGGACTCAGCTTTTCATATTTTGAAAGTTCTGATGACAAATTAGATACTCTTGTTCAAGTTCTTCCATGTTGTTTGTGCTTAAAGGGGAAAACCAGCAAGAGCAATCCAGGCCTTTCCCTTCAGGGTAATGTATACTCACAAACAGCTCCTGCTGGGGAAACCTTTCCAGGGTGCCTCCATTACCTCCTGCTTCTCTGACAAATGAACATTTTGATATTGATGTTTGTCCTGTTAAAAATTCTGATATAATAAATATTACATTAGGTTTGAGACTTTGAAGCCCTCACCTTCTACCAGCCTGAGAATGAGTGAAATTCACATGTCTGGGATCCTTTGCAGGCTTCTGGATTGAAATTTTGTGATTCAGCTTTTCTAAAAAGTGCAACACAGCTTTTTGATAGAGTCCAAGTTCATGGCAACTGCTAATGGCTTTGTGGATTTACTGAGGAAGTGAGAGGCTGAGTAGGAAGGTGGTGAGGCAGACTTTGCATGAATTCATATCCAGCTTTGTTAGTACAGGTTTGGGTTGGAAGGTACCTTAAATATATTTTAGGTCCAACTCGTCTTCCATGAGCAGGGACACTTTCCATTATCCCAGGTTGCTCCAAGACCCATTCAACCTGGCCTTTAACACTTCAATGGATAGAGCAGTCACAGATTCTCTGGGCAACCTGTGTCAGGGCCTCACCACCCTGACAGTAAAAAATATTATTCCTAAAATCTGAAATAAATCTCTTTTTCAGTATAAAAACATTTCCCCTTCTCCTATCACTACATCCCCTTGCCAAACATCTCCCTCTTTTATATAAGCTACCCTTAGGTGCTGAAAGGTGATGCAAGGTCACCTTGGAGCCTTTTCTTCTCAAGGCTGAACGACCCCAGCTCTCTCAGCCTGTCCTCAGAGGAGAGATGCTCCAGCCCTCTGATCATTTTTGTGGCCTCCTCTGGGCCTGCTCTGAGAGGTTCACACTATCCCACAATTTCCTGTGCTGGGGATGCCAGAGCCCAGTTTTCCATCCACCAGAACCCTTCTTTGCAGGGCTCCTCTCAATGAGGAGGTCTCTACCCTTACGTGGGAATATCCAAACTCGGGGGTGACACTTGAATCTGTTGAACCTCATGAGGGTCTTGAGGGCCACAAGAGCAATCATATTTGCTGTACCTGTGGGATGACCATAAGCATGGTGTGATGCTTTGGTGCTTGGATTGCCTCATCTCCTTGCTCCTTAGGCAGCTGCATCCCTCTGCAGCAGAGAAGGGACTGCTTGGTTTTACTTGTCCTTGCTGAGCACCGAGCCAGAGCTTGGTTAAAAACATTTTCTCTGATTCTTGGAGATCTTTGACTTCTCTAAAAAGCACCCCAGGAGTGGCTCAGGAAGCTGGACTGCCAGGGACCAAGTTCAAGACTTTTCTTTCCAGGCAGGAGTGGAATAACAGGGGAGAACTGAGATGTAGGGCTCAGGGGTTGTGATAGCTGTTGTCTTGAACTGAAACATTTCTCCCCTCACATGTGTCTTGCCCTAAACCCAAACCCTTTGACAAAGCACAGAAGGACACTCTGACACCAGGGCTGGAGCAGTGACAGCTGCTCTGCTGGCTGTGGTGTCTGCACTGAACTGAGTGCTTTGGGCACCTGCAGATCGTGGAGTAGCATTTCAGACTTTTAGAATGTGGGAGAAATAGAGCAGAACCCACAGCTGGAGTTGGATGCCACATCCTAATATGACACAAGTGGCAGTTCTCTTTGGAAAGGTGAGGGCTTGCCTCTGGCAACCTCATTTTACCCAGGCTGACAGGAGATGAGCACGGTGAGCCCATCAAAAGATAACAAAAAAAAATGGGAACAATGGTGAGCTTGAGAATGCTCTTCTGCCGGGGCACTGGCCTCCATAAACAGCCTAAATGCTTCCATTCTCTTACATAAGATCCAGAGGCTAAATGTGAGCAGACACTTGTAAGAGGAAGGTGAGGAGGAGGAGGAGTGGGGGCTTTGGACTCAAGTTTTCTCATTTGTATGGATGAGTTTGGTTCCTGGCCCGAGGCACTGACTTCTCCCTTAGCTCCCTGTCACCAGCCAGGGCTGTAAGTGCAGCCTGTGCTCATTAGCCCAGCTGCAGCTGTTCGAAAAGACACTTTGCTCTGGCATAACTCAGACTTCAAGAACTATTTCTGGATTTTTTCCCAAGGAAAATGTGGTGGGTCTGTGAGGTCTGTAGAGGTGTGCTTAATCTCAGGCACGCTGCAAGCACAGTGCCCTACACTGGACTCAGGAAGCAAACACAAGAAACGTGGTTCATTAATTCTAGAGAGCTCTTCACTGCTTCCCAAAAAAATAAAAACCCCAAAAAATAAAAACCCAATCCACCAAGGAAATTTTAAAAAGCCAGTCTTGAAATCACTGCAGATAAGCAGATCCTTTACCGTGGGCAGCTGCCAAACCTGTTTCCTCTTGCTTACACATGAAAGGGGTTTATTTGCCCCAGATTTCTGGATTCTCCTCAACTTTCTATTCTTTTCCCCAATTCCATACATAAGTTTATGCAAAAAAACAAAGTAGGCTTTCAGGATTTTACTTGTTAACATTGAATTCTT